TAAAAATGTTCAAACTTTGTGTTTGATCAACCTGAAGCTGCGGATACCATTTAGGCTACTAAAGATAGACATTATGTTAAGGCTAAGCTTGACCTATTTGGTAGAAGTTCATGGAGGTTGGTAGTTTTTTCCAAAACAATTAATTAGAAAAAATTTAGGCATTTCTAATTAATTGCCATCCACTTCATGTGAATCTATTTAGCATATTCGAGAGTTTATTGTATTTCAATTCCAATTATGTGGGACCGAATAGACTAGTTTTGCATTTTATTATGCCCTTCTCACAAGTTACCTTTATGTCCATTGCCTTAATTTGGATGTTCTCCAAAGACTTTTGACTCTAATGTGTGCCCATCTTACACGTCTTTAATAATGAGTTTGTTTTTTTTTTTTTCATAGGACCTCCATATGTGTTGTGGCGTTCATCTCACGTTTAGCAATTTCTTGTTCATTTTTACCGTACAAGACTTTAATATTGATGAAGACCATTAACAATTATGTTTTTTTTATTCTTCTTTGATTTTTCAAAAAAGAAGGGGAAAAACTCTACCATCTATTATAGTTATTACCGTCGCTATTCTCACAGATTATATAGGTACAAAGTTTTTCTTTTAAAAAAAACAATTTGATAAATAGATCAAATCTGTGTGAAGAGAAAAACTAGTTTCCATAGTGTTTATATTTTGTAGGGTTAAGGGTCAAAAATATATATGAAAATATACTAAAACTTCACCCAGCATCATAAATTTTCTTTAGGTTCAAATTGACCAATTCAAATTTAAAAAGAGTTCAATAATGCCAATGCTATCAAAATTAACAAATGTCCCATTTTTAGCAATGGGACCCATGATTTTTTTTAGTGAAAGTATCAAAATACCCCTAATTAAACCAAAAACAAAAGTTAAGGGTCAAAAATACCCATGAACTTCATCAAACACCATATGATTTTTAATAAAGTTAGCAAAATACCACCAATTTCGAAAGGCTATTACATTAGAGTGTGTTAGAGATTATTAAGTATAATAAATTTTTATATCACCAATCTTTATAATTAAAAAAGATTATTAGTCTTTTTCAATAAATTTTTTATGAGCCAATTTTTTCGCTTTCTATAAAAACTAGCCTATTGTTATAGTTATTCTATTCATTAGGGGCTGAAAATATTTTAATAGCATAAATATTAGACATAATAATTAAATATTTTGTAACTACTAGAAATAGCCTTAAATTTTCTCAAAGAATTTAAACATAAATATAAAAGAAATTTCAGGTTTAAATTTGATGACATAGACTAGAGGATAAACGCACAGCTCCATGTATCATTGATACAAGTAACTTATTTTCAAAAGATATCCATAATGTCTACTAAAAAAAAAAGATTGGAGATATAAATAACTTAACATTGAAGAGCAATCCAATTCAAGCTTAAACTTTTTTATATTATTTATTTTAATTATAAAAATTTTATTAAAATTAATAATCTCTAACACACTCTACTACAATAGCCCTTTGAGATTGGGTGTATTTTGATACTTTTATATATATATATATATATATATATATATATTTTATGGTGTTTGGTCAATTTTAAGTATAAGTTCATGTGACTCTTAATTTTTTTCCCGTTGTAATTGAGGGTATTTTGGTATTTTTATTATAAAAACTGTGGGTCCCACAACCAAAAAAACGGATATTTGTTAATTTTAACAGCGCTGACATTATTAATTTCTTTTTTTAAACTTGGATTGGTAGATTTGATCACAAAAAAGTTCATGGTGTTAAGTAAAGTTTTGACATATTTTCATAAGTGTTTTTAACCTTTAACCCTATTTTTATGATAAAAAAATGTACATATTTTGAGTAAAACAAAAGTGTGATAAATAATATATAAAAGTCATTTTACAATTTATGATGTGAATAATTTAAATATGATAATCATAATACTAATAAATGCCCAATCAGTTAATAACCAGAATGAATAATGAAGTGCGCATAACTTTCATTGCAAAAGAGAAATAGAGATCGCATAACAATACAAAAGAGAAATAATTCTTTGCCCTCTGTCATTTCAATATTTCTCTATGTAAAGACTCCGAGACTGCACTCATTTTGTGATCATCACTTTGTGGAAAGAAACTAAATAAAAGATGGGCATCATGATTCATAGTGGTATTTTTGTTAAGCTTTTCCGCAACAAAATTAAAATTTGTTCTTAAAACAAAAAAAAAATCAAAACATTTTTTTTATTTTTCTGTCTTTTGTTTTACAAAATTAGGGAAGAGATGCAGAATATTGTATTTTTGTTAATTATATTAGGTTAATAAAAACAAACTAGCTTTGACCCTTCACTTTATCATTTTATGTATGGTTTTTGAAATAATGATTCTAACATTTTTTTTTAATCTTTAGTATTCAAAACTTATTCTAAAAAGTAGTACTCCTTCGCTCCATAATATAGGACCCAATTGTTGAGTTAGTTTTGGTCCTAAATATAAGACCCATTTCTCATATTTATCAATTTTCTGTAAATTACCCCTATGTATACTCCCTCAACCACAATCAAGTAGAAGAGGAAGAGGGGATATTAAGAAAGATGATTATGGTATTTTAGGAAAAACATGTCATATTGCTTATAATTAACTAACTTACCTAACTTTTTTAATCTAATCAAATTAATTAAATGGGTCTTATATTAAGGACGGAGGAGTAAAAACATAAAAGTTGAGCATAAAATCAAACAAGCTTTTTATTTTATTTACTTTATGTTTTTTTTATTTTTAATAATCAAAGTTAGTTAACAAGTTTCTTTATATGTAACTTAAAAGTTATAATTTTGTTTTCAAGAAAAATAAATTTATACTTCTATAAAGACTCAGCCTTTACACTCATTTGGTGATCACGTTGCATGAATCAGTGGCATTCTCCAAAATTATGTCGACTACTCCAACAATAAGCACTATGATGGTACTAGTGATTTTATGACTATGCCCTGTCATTAATTTCTTCAATAATATTGCCACCTACATGATAGCAGAGGAGAAACATGCTCTGTTTTAGAGCAACTAGTGGTAAGAAAAGGTGTATTTCCATAACTTGGTTTGTCTTTCAAAATATGATCCTAAAAGTTAAAAATAATGGGTTCTTTAATTCAGAGTTCCATCAGACCACTGTGTTGTGATGTTCATCTCATGTTTGGCAATTTCGTGCCCATTTTCACTATAATAACTCCAAAGACTAAAGACTTTAATATTGACTAAGACCATTAATTAACAACTGAGGCAATCTTACACGATATGATTAGTCCATTTGCCATTGGACCTACCCACTCCAACGACTTTGACGCGTAGAAGGGAGATTCAATAATATTGCTCTATATATAAAGACTCTGTGGATGCACTCATTTTATGATTGCTTTGTGTAGACAAAGGAACTGAAGATGGGTGTGATGAGAGCGGTATTTTTATTATGCTTTGTTATAATAACTTGCTCCCACATTAATGGTGTAGCATCAATTGCCATGATAGAAGAGGAGAAACGTGCTATACTTCAAACCAAATGGTGGACTTTCAGTAACAACGCCCACAATATGCCAGACCCTTGTCAATGGGAAGGCATATATTGCAATGATTTTGGAAGCCTTGTTGAGATGGATTATCAACAAATGACCACACAACACCAGCATCTAGCAGATTTCAATTTCACTGCATTTCCCAATCTAGAACGTCTCATACTTTCTAAAATGGGTTTGACAGATACAATTCCAAGTCAGATAGGATCTCTTCATAAACTTATTCTTCTAAACTTATCTTTTAACAATCTTACTGGTGAGTTGTGTATCTTCTACTTCTACTCTTACCATGCAAATTCACTATATTCAAAAATATTGTATTTACCACCGCACAACCTAATAGTTCTATTGACAGGGATCATTCCATCGCAAATAGGAGCTCTTCCAAATCTTACTTATTTAGACTTGTCTTCTAATAGTCTTACTGGTGAGTTATATATCTTCCATTTCTACTCTTGCAAATTCACACAATTTTGAAATACTATATTTATCTCCACACAACCTAATACTTTTATTGCCAGGAATCATTCCATCATAGAGAGTATCTCCTCATAATTTGATTCATCTACACTTATCTTCTAACAATCTCAATTATGAGTTATATATTTTTCATTTCTACTCTTATCTTGTAAATTCACTCAATTTGGAAATATTATATTTACCCCCACACAACCGAATACCTCTATCGATAGGGATTATTCCATCCCAAATAGGAGATCTTCAAAATCTCATATATCTGGACTTGTCTTATAATAGACTTACTGGAAAGTTATATATCTTCCATTTCTACTGTTACCTTGCAAATTCACTAAATTTTGAAATATTGTATTTACCACCACACAACCTAATACCTCTATTGACAGGTATCATTCCATCACAGATAGGATCTCTTCATAATCTGATTGAACTGCAGTTGTATTCTAATTGTCTTACTGGTGAGTAACATATCTACCATTTCTGCTCTTGCCTTGTAAATTCTCTAAATTTTGAAATATTGTGTTTCCCTCCACACAATCTAATACTTCTATTGGCAGGGATTATTCCATCCCAAATAGGAGCTCTTCGATATCTCACTCATTTGGACTTGTCTTCTAACAGTCTTATTGGTGAGTTATATATCTTCCATTTCTACTCTTACCTTGCAAATTAAGTAAAATTTGTGATATTGTATTTATCTCCCCACAAACTAATACCTCTATTGACAGAGATCATTCCAACATAGATAGGCTCTCTTCATAATCTGATGCATCTATACTTATCTTCTAACAATTTTACTTATGAGTTATATATCTTTCATTTTTGCTCTTACCTTGTAAATTCACTCAATTTGAAAATATTATATTTACCCCTACACAACCTAATACCTCTATTGACAGGGATTATTCCATCCCAAATAGGAGCTTTTCAATATCTCACTTATCTGAACTTATCTTCTAACAGTCTTACTGGTGAGTTATATATCTTCCATTTGTATTCTTTCCTTGCAAATTCACTACATCTTTCATTTCAACTCTTACCTTGTAAATTCACTCAATTTGAAAATATTATATTTACCCCCACACAACCTAATACCTCTATTGACAGGGATTGTTCCGTCCCAAATAGGAGCTCTTCAAAATCTTACTTCTCTGGACTTGTCTTCTAACAGTCTTACTGGTGAGTTTTATATGTTTCACTTCTTCTCTTATCTTTGAAATTAAGTAAATTTTTGCAATATTGAATTTATCTCCCCACAACCTAATACCTCTATTGACAGGTATCATTCCATCACAGATAGGATCTCTTCATAATCTGATTGAACTGCACTTGTATTCTAATTGTCTTACTGGTGAGTAACATATCTACCATTTCTGCTCTTGCCTTGTAAATTCTCTAAATTTTGAAATATTGTGTTTCCCTCCACACAATCTAATACTTCTATTGGCAGGGATTATTCCATCCCAAATAGGAGCTCTTCGATATCTCACTCATTTGGACTTGTCTTCTAACAGTCTTATTGGTGAGTTATATATATCTTCCATTTCTACTCTTACCTTGCAAATTAAGTAAAATTTGTGATATTGTATTTATCTCTCCACAAACTAATACCTCTATTGACAGAGATCATTCCATCATAGATAGGCTCTCTTCATAATCTGATGCATCTATACTTATCTTCTAACAATTTTACTTATGAGTTATATATCTTTCATTTCTGCTCTTACCTTGTAAATTCACTCAATTTGAAAATATTATATTTACCCCTACACAACCTAATACCTCTATTGACAGGGATTATTCCATCCCAAATAGGAGCTCTTCAATATCTCACTTATCTAAACTTGTCTTCTAACAGTCTTATTGGTGAGTTATATATCTTCCATTTCTACTCTTACCTTGTAAATTCACTAAATCTTGGAATAATATATTTATCTCCCCATAACCTAATACCTCTATTAACAGGGATTATTCCATCCCAAATAGGAGCTTTTAAAAATCTCATTTATCTAGACCTGTCTTCTAACAGTCCTACTGGTGAGTTATATATCTTTCATTTCTACTCTTATCTTGCAAATTAAGTAAAATTTGTAATATTGTGTTTGAAAAGACCTCTTCTTAATACATAATTATAAAGCCATTTTTTTTATGATAACCATGGCAGAAAAAGAATTGAGTTAGAGTATTAAAATATTACCATAGTTATAAAGAGTTTGTCTTATTCCAAAAACGTTCCTATAGGCTTAATATACATAAAACGCTCATGAGTTCAACAACACGTACAACGAGGACTCAAGGCACAGTAACCACCCACAAGTCCAACATAAAAATTCACCCCACCAAGACTTAGGGCACAAGAAACACAGGGTGCTCAGCCCAACCTACAAGTCGTACACATAAGAGTAACACATGCGGTAGAGTCTTATGGCCTCCGACCATTCTAATAGCACTCCATCAAATACAGTCATCCAACAACCAAACCAAAGAAAGTGTATATCAACAAAATCATGGGCCCAAAGATGGCAATATATAACATTACATGCCCAAATCAAAAGAGGACTACTAGGCTATACTTGCCTATGCCTTTGGTTGCTTCCCTTCATGCCAAATCAAACTAGATTGCTCTCTTAAAAAGCATTGATGAATAACGGTATGAGACATAAAGTCTGAGTAACAAAGTATTAATTTGCCACATATATAAGTAGGATAACAAGTTGATGAAGTAGTGCTTAAATATAATTTAAGTAATAAATGATGCTTTAATAAATAAATTGCATGAAAGGAGTATATCTCACCATCCACAACCAAATTCATGCAAAAGTACACATATGCAACAACACAATAAAATATGCGCTCCATCACCATATTTCTTCTTATGACTCGTTGACAAGGTTGTGGTCTTTCTGTGCTGAGTAACTCAGCCAAAGATCAACCTACTCACATCAAGCAATGGGTCCCCTCCTGCACCTACACAACTCAAGAATGGACTATGATACAAAAGGTGTCTACCTAAGAGCTCTTTCTCAACCTCGGGCCAAGAAAAAGGAAATAGGGGTCTAGTCAATAGTGTAGGTATACCACGTGGGTTTCAAGAACAATTATCCTCCACATAACAAAATCCCAACCTCCACTTATGAACCCCATACAGAGTCACAATATAAATTAAAAATATCATAGTTCTGCAAAGTAAGATGATATAGTTTCAAACAAAGTACAACATATTTTCATTTCATTTAATAATATAATATTAGTATATCAAATTCAGCACCACAAAAACACATAATTCCCAATAAAATGCAACTCAGGCATAATTAAATTGACATACTTCCCAATTTATCAAAATTTGTCATATAAAAAAAAATACATACTTTATTCATAAACATACTTTCACAAATTTATTTGAGAAAATAAAAACATAGTAAACACCTTACAATTCAAAGCATGTATATAAAATAAATTAAACCTGGTTACCTCTACTCCAAGCTTAACTCACAATTTGAGAAAGAAAGGTACAAATTATAAGCTCCGAAATACAAGATAATCTACAAAAAAATGTAGATACAATTTAATGTACATACAAATAAACTACTTAAATTACATAGGATTTATTATTATTAATATATATTCGTATATTTACTACCCAAAAATTCTTACTTCAAATAACAATTTTTCTTTACCCAAATAACTCATTTAAATTACAAATAAATATTGATTTTATTTAATTATGTAAAATTTTTAATTTATAACTTAAGTTTCCAGCTTAAAAATCTTTTCCAATAATATATCCTTAACCTATTTCATATCTTAAGCCGATTAAAATCTCAATAATATATCAAATAACCCAAATAAGTTATCTAACTTAAATTTAATTGGTAAAAACACTCTATATGTCTTAAACAATACATATTTCAACTAAAATCTTAGTGTAAAATTTTCAAAACAATCAATGAATAAATATAAACTAATTAAAATTTTAATAATATATCAAACAACCCAAATAAATTATTTAACTTAATTTTAATTGGTATCAATATGATATCTATATCATAAATGAAAGATTTTTCAACAAAATAAATTTGATTTCAAATACCAAAAGTAATAAATGGACAAATCTAAACCAATTAAAATTAACTACTTATTTACCTTTAAATTTTTATGGTCATCTATTGTCAAAACTCAATACGTACTTCATACCTAAATCCTAAAATTTTCTCTAAACATTATAATGATACTACTAACATAAAGCTCTAAATATTAAAAAAATATTCAAAAAGAAAATTTAATAAAAAGAAGTACTTTTATGTACCTAAATGATCCACAAAACTTGTATCACTCTTCAAAATGTTAATGTTTCTCTGCTTCTCTCTCTTCCTCTCTTTCTCTGATTCTCGATCTCTCTCTCTTTCTCTTCTCTTCTTTGCCTAACACTCCCTCCTCTTATTTATCCTTCCCACTCAATCGTCTCGTCCAACTTTTTTTTCTTTATTTATTAACCTCCCTCGTTTTTCTTCTTCTTCTTAAATGTTTTTACCTTTTCCACCGAATTTGGTGGAAAATGTGTGTTTTTTTTACTCTCTCTTTTTTTAATAAAGTATTATTATTTATAATAATAAAATATTATTATATATGATTTAATTACTATTATTTTTGAAATCATAATAATTTTTTTAATACTAAAATAACATTTAGGATGTTACAGTTCTCCCCACCTAAATAGAATTTTATCCGTGAGAAATATAGCAACATAACAACATTAAAGAAATAGATAATATCACCACACACATACTATCAACACACAAGATATTACACAATCAGCACATCAACACATACTTAAGAAAACATATATGGATAATCACACCCATTCACTCCTCAGTTTCCTAAGTAGCATCACTAGGAGACATGTCTTTCTAGAAAACCTTAAGTAACTGGATTGTTTTATTCCAGAGTTGCTTATCCTTAACATCTAAAATACGTTTGAGCTTAGCTTGAAAGGTGAGATTCTCTTGTAACTCAATCTCCCCAGTTTCGATCACATGAGATGGATCTGGATGATACTTCTTGAGTTGTGACACATAAAAGACATTGCACTCATCAAAAAGATACAGTGGTAAAGCAATTTAATAAGTGACCGGTCCAATTCGCTCTAAAATCTTGTAAGGTCCAAGATATTAAGGAGTCAGCTTCTTGGCCTTGATAGATCTACCAATACCGGTTACTAGTGAAACTTTCAAAAACACATAGTCACCCAATTCAAATTTCAAAGGCCTCTACCATCGATCTGCATAACTCTTCTACTAACTCTGAGCGGTCATCAACCTCTGTTTGATTAATTCAATTTTTTATGGTTGCATCCACAAAGTTAGGGTCAACAATGGTTCTATCACTCGATTCAGTCCAACACAGTGGTGATCTACACTTTCTTCCATACAATGCTTCATAAGGTGCCATCTGGATGCTCGCATGATAATTCTGCTAGTGGAAGATAGTGATCCCAACTACCCAAAAGTTTAATGGTGCAAGCCCTCAACATATCCTCAAGAGTTTGGATGGTTCTCTCAGTTTGACCATTAGTTTGGGGTGATACATCGTACTAAACTTCAACTTTGTGTGAAACCTCCTTACATATCTTGGTCTGATATGATATCTTTTAGTATCTCATGCAATCTTATAATCTCATCTACATATAATTGAACGAGTTTTTCATAGAATAAGTAGACTTGATTGGGAGAAAGTAGAATGACTTTGTTAGTCTATCTACAATGACCCAGATTACATCATAACCCATTAGAGTTCCAGGCAAACCCATGATAAAGTCCATTAAAATGCTATCCTATTTTCACTTAGAGATTTCCAAGTTTTGGATTAAACTTAGTGGCTTTTGGTATTCAATTTTGACTTTCTGACAAGTCAAACCCCTGAGTACTAAATTAGTCATATCACACTTCATCCCTGGCCACCAATACTCTTGCTTTAAATCATGATACATCTTGGTTATTCTAGGGTGAATGGTCTACTTAGTTCTATGTGTCTCCTAAAGAATTGTCTTTTTCATTTCTTCATTATCTAAAACACAAATCCTTCTCTTGGACCTCAAGATTCCTTTGTCTTCAATGTTATAATCTGATACAGCTCCATTTTCTAGTTCTTCTCTTACCCTTATCAATTCATCATCCTTCATTTGGGCTATCTTCAACTCTTTAAAGAAGTCAAAGTTCCCAAGTACTGCATTTAAAGTAACAATCATCTCCATTATCTTACCCATAACTGGTATTTCTGTTAGCTCCTCTAGTAAGTGATGCTCTGTCACACTCATAGAAAACATGAACTGTCTTTCTACTCAATGCACCAACCACCGTATTAGCCTTCCCTGGATGGTACTGTGATTTAAAATCATAATATGCTAAGAATTCCATCGCTCTTCACTAATGATTATTTAACTTTTTCTGATCTACCAGGTACTTTAAGCTTTTATAGTCACTGAAAATCTCAAACTGCACACTATAAAGATATTTCTCTAAATCTTTAAGGCAAACACAATTGCCGCTAGTTTCAAGTCATAGCTGTGGTAATTCTACTCGTGAGGTCTCAATTGTCTGGATGCATAAGCTACTACCTTATTATCTTGCATCAATACACTGCCCAAACCTTCCAAAGATGCATCCGTGTACATCGTATACGGTAGTGATGGTTCAGGTATAGTGAGGAGAGGTGTCGTGGTTAACTTCATTTGCAACTCTTGAAATGCAACTTCACAGTTTTCTGTCCATACAAAAGGTTTGTCCTTCTTCATTAGGTTAGTTAGTGGCATGGCTATCTGAGAAAAGCTTTTAATGAAACGGCAGTAATACCCAGCTAACCTCATAAAGCTTCTTACTTCAATCACAAACTTGGGAGTTTCCCATTTTAACGCTGCCTCTATTTTACTTGGATCCACAGCCACACCTTTGGCAAATACCACATGACCTAAAAACTTTACCTCCTTTAACCAAAACTCACACTTGCTCAAGTTATTATACAACTTGTTCTCTCTTAATATTTGTGATACACTATGAAGGTGTTTATGATGCTCCTCCTCACTTTTTGAGTACATGAGGGTATCATCAATGAAAACTACAACAAATTGTTCTAAATAAGGCCTGAAAATTCTATTCATATGATCCATAAACACTGCTGGGGTTTTTGTTAATCCAAAAGGCATCACTACAAACTCATAGTGACCATAACGAGTTTGAAAAGCGGTCTTGGGAATGTCCTCTGCCTTGACCCTTAACTGATGGTGGTTAGATCTTAAATCAGCTTTAGAGAACACAAAAGAACCTACAAGCTGATTAAGCGAGTCATCAATTCTCGGAAGAGGATACTTGTTCTTAATTGTGACCTTATTCAACTGATGATAATCTACAATAATGGCTTCGACTACCATTATGACTGGGATGGCATATCTTGCCATGTCTTTGGAAATGTAATTTCAATTGAACAACTAAGAATCCATTCACAACAACTTCAGCTAGCAGATCTTAATTCACAACAGTCTCAGCTAGCAGATATTGACTTTACCACATTACAAAAACTAAAATATTTATATCTTTCTAGAATGAGGTTAACAAGTACCACTCTGATTTTAAACAAAGCTCTTTATTCATTCATTCATTCATCTAATGTCTTACAATAATCTTACTTACATTACACTCTTGCCAACCTTACTTATTTAAAGTTGCTCAATATGAATGGAAACAATCCACTTGGACCCATTCATTCAGCTTTGTATTTTACAACAAATATTAAAGACTTGTTTTTGTACACAAATTTATTTATTGCATCACAAAAAACTAGTAGTATATAGTTGAATAATCATGGAATAGAGTTGATAAGTACCATTCCAACTCAGATTGGAGCTCTTCTTAATCTCATAAATCTGAACTTATCTTATAACAATCTTACTAGTAAGTTATGTGTCTTATACTATACCTTGCAAATTCACTCAATTTAGAACTCTTATATTTACCTTATGACCTAATAAGGTTATTGCCAAGTACCATTCCAACACAGATAGGAGCTCTTCAAAATCTCAATTATTTGAACTTGTTTCATAACAACTTTTTATGTGATCAAAAATAACCTAAGACATACATTTGCAATTAAAAGGAATGTGTTTTGACTTTGACAAATCCCGTTCCAACTCAAATAGAAGATCTTTCACAACTCACATATCTAAACTTGTCTAACAACAATATTGTTTCAAGTGAGTTACTTCTCATCCTTATCCAAATTACAAAAAGGAAAAAAGAAATATTACATTGAAGACATGTTTTAAATGATCAAAATACCTAGCATATGTTTTGAGCTAACAAAAAACTATAGCATTACAAAGTTGTTTTTTAAGCTTTATGATATAAACAATTCAAATATAATAGGGAGAATTACAATCAAGCTCCAAGGAAGAGAAATAATTACTAAAAAAAATCCCAATAATAGCCTCAATAGCCTATCATGACAAGTGCCAAAGTAGACAATGACAATTTTTAGAACTTGTTTTGTAATTATTTTCCTTCCTTAGGACTTGATTGTAATTCTCCCAATGTAATAAGGAAAAGAGAATAATATGTTGAATGCTCTATGAATTAACCACAATAATAAAGAACAAATATGAACAAGCCTTTAATTGTAATGGAAACTCCTTCAGTGAAACTTCTAAAGTGATGGTGTAAGCTTTTGTCATTCAAACACATGGCTATAATATCACAACTGCCACCGCAGGGAATAAGCATGCACTGCTTCAAAGTAAATGGTGGAACTTAAGCAATGGTGGCTCCCACTACTATTGTGACTGGGATGGCATATCATGTGATGGTTTAGGAAGAGTTATCTCAATCAACCGATCAAGAATCTATTCACAGCATTGTCAGCTAGCAGATCTCAACTTCACTAAATTAGAAAGACTAAAATACTTAAATCTTTCTAGGATGGGGATAACAGGTACAGTTTTAATTCAAATTGGAGCCCTTCATTCATTCATCCAATATTTTCACTTGTCTTGCAATAATTTTACTTACTTCCACCAACCTTAATTATTTAAGATTACTCAATTTGAATAGAAACAATCTAATTGGAGTCATTCGTTCAGCATTGGGTTTATGACAAATATAAAAGACTTACATTTGAGCACACATTTATTCACTACATTATAAAAAAAATATTATATTTGAATTTTCATAAAATGGTGACAGGTATCATTCCAACTCATATAAGAGGTCTTCAAAATCTCAATTATTTGGACTTGTCTTGCAACAACCTTACAGGTGTCCTACCTTTCACCTTTCCCCACTTATATAATATAAAAAATATTATATTTGAATTTTCATGGAATGGTGACAGGTATCATTCCAACTCATATAGGAGGCCTTCAAAATCTTAATTATTTGGACTTATCTTGCAATAACCTTTCAGGTATTCTACCTTCCACCCTTCCCAACTTTATTTAGAATCGCTAGATTTGAGTAGAAACAAAAAAAATAGTTGGGGTCATTCTTTAAACTTCAGGTTTTATGACAAATCTCAATAACTTATATTTATACTCAAATTTATTCACTACAGGTGGTATCCCTTCTTCAATTTTCAATTTGAGAGATTTACAACATTTTGATGTTTCTCAAAATCAATTAAGTGGTGGCATTCCAAAAAAATTAGGAAATTTCAATAATCACTTTCATGTAGATGTCTCCCAAAATAATTTCAGTGGAAATGTACCAGACATTTTGAATGATTACTTACATGTTGATGGTAACTTTAGTCACAACAAGTTCAATGGAATATTGCCATCTAGTATATGCAATGAGCCACCATCATGTAGCATTGATTTAAGCTACAATAGTATCTCCGGTAGCATACCTAGAGAATTTGGTATGCTACAATACATCAACTTGTCATACAATCTTCTTAGTGGCTATGTTCCAAGTGAAGTTTATAGCTCTTTTCCTCATGACATTTTAAATGGTAATAGAGAGTTACTTGGGCCAGAGAAGATACATAAAGGCTCAAAGTCTTTATTGAAAATCATTATTCCTTTGACAATTTTTCTTGTCATCACATTTGTTGTGGGTTTCATCTTATTTGAATCATTCAAAAAGCACAAGAAATCCATAAGTAAGGCAAGAGAAGCAAAAAATGGTGATTTGTTTTCCATATGGAATTATGATGGAAAAATTGCATATCAAGACATCATTGAAGCCACAGAGGACTTTGACATCAAATATTGTATCGGAACTGGTGCTTATGGAAGTGTTTATAGGGCACAACTTCAAAGTGGAAAAATCGTGGCATTGAAAAAACTCCATAAAAGAGAATATGGAAACACAGTTTTGGCCAAGAGTTTTCATAACGAAGTGAAGATGTTGAGTGAAATTCGACATCGCAATATTGTAAAGCTTCATGGTTTTTGTTTGCATAATCAATGTATGTTTCTCATATATGAATACATGGAAAGAGGAAGCCTTTTTTACGTGTTGAATTATGATGATGAAGCAAAAGAGCTGAATTGGAGTAAGAGAGTGAATGCCATTAAAGGAATAACAAATGCTTTGTTATATATGCATTATCATTGTGCTCCTCCAATTATCCATCGAGACATAACAAGCAGTAATATATTGTTGAACTCAAAGATGGAAGCTTTTTTATCAGACTTTGGCACAGCTAGGATCATTGATCCAGATACATCTAATCAGACTCTTTTAGTTGGTACTTATGGTTATGTTGCTCCAGGTGAGCTTTTCTAATTCTCTATTACTGCTCCTTCTATGTTGTATTTTATTTCTATAGTATATTACTTGTCTTGGGATAAATATATAATTATTTAATTTTTGGTCCATTGCAGAGCTTGCATACACCTTAGTTGTTACTGAAAAATGTGATGTTTATAGTTTCGGGATGGTGACATTAGAAACAATTATGGGAACACATCCTGGAGATTTGATATTATCTTTGTCAAAGACCTATACAGGAAGCATTTTGCTAAAGGATATTTTAGACTCACGTCTCCCTTTGCCATCACAAAAAGATGCAGGAGATATAACTCTTTTGGTCACAATAGCATTAGCATGCTTGAACCCATCTCCCAAATCTCGACCATCAATGCAACAGGTGTCTGAAAGGCTTTTATCTTCCAACCTTCCATTAGCAATTCCTTTCAATAATATTTCAATCCAACATTTGGCGAATGAAGATATGCTAATAATGCAGTAAAAAGTTTGGAGATTTGGTTCACTGTTTGCTCTGTACCTCAGATGAAACTTTTAAAGACTTGCTTCAAAGTCTAGATTTGAAATATGCCATATGTTTAATTTGTTGTAATTGATATTTGTCTTATTCTGTTTAAATAATAAGATATCAAAATTGAATCATAAGAAATGTACACATAGAAGCAATCTCACCAAAACCACCTCTACCCAGAATGTTTTTGTTACTAACCTTATATTTTGCAACTTAAAACTTTTCAAGTTGATCAAAGTGAGTTTCAAGGTCCTCCTCAGATCAGCTACCAGTAAAAAGGTAAAATGTTAGTAAATCAATTATGGCTATCACATAAATCATCAATGATTATATATAGCATCTTTTCCATTATTCAACTTATTACCAAGAACGTCAAAGAAATAATTTTTCTGTCTCCTCTTCTGTTAATAAACATTTAGAGCAATAATAGCCCTAATAACACTATTACCTAAAACTGTTAAGTGGAATAGAGTGATCAGTAGAATTTTGATATGCTCCCTCTCATTAATGACTATGAGCTTACACTTCATCATTATACACACACACACACACACACACACACACATGTATATAACTTAATTTCTACATGTGCATAAGATCATTGAAGTTTAGTAGAAACACCCACAGGACTTGCGGTGAATTAGAAGTAGTCAAGGTCATGGCAATGACTCCTATCAAGCTGTTATTTGGAGACGCCCATTTCAGAGAGCATGAAGGATTAGTTTGCGAATAATGGCATGCTAGGGTAGAGATATATGAAAGCAATAGGCATACATTTTATCATTTAATAAAGTTTAGAATGTGTTACTCTAGTTCTGGTTACATATGACTTCTTCTTGGGAAAGTAAATTTACTAAAGCAAGAAAATCCACAACTTAGGATGGTGCTTATTAAAAACAAAAAGCTAAAAATTAAACTAAAAAGAGACTAAAAAAAACAAAAGCTAATTTGGGAGCCAAGTTATTGGCCTTTTGATGGCTCAAATACTTGCACACAACTTCTTTTTTTTTTTTTGGTGAAACTCGCACACAACTTTTATCAGAATGGCTTGTACTAGGAACCAATTTTATGACCAATATTATGATAATCTTTCAGTAACGGTCTACATTTAAAATTGTTAATGGATGGTTTTTAAGTAAGAAAATAATTCTTAAAATCTGACAGCTAGGAGATAATTTTTATTTTGGACTTTACATATATTAAAATATTAAATTATAAAAAACTTAGATTAAATATGAAGTGTTTAATTTTTAACTTGATCAGTTCTAATCTTAAAATTGAACCCTCATGGCACGAGATTATTTGCATTTACCTAATACTCCCCAACTTCTATTTATAAGTTTCAAATTTATGAAGGAGTGTGATCTATTTTATAAGTTTCAATTTAGGGTTTGTCTTAACATTTGATATTTTTTTAATGTTATCCTTAATTATTTCTCTATTTCATATTTCCCCACATATTCTCTTTCATCTTTTTTCTCATTTATTATACGATCATATTTAAAAATATATTTTTTTAATTTATTTATTATTTTAAAATAATTTTAAATAATTATTTATGATCTGTAAATTGATTATTTAAAACTCATAATAAGGAGTAGAGTGAGTAATTCTCTAGTATGTATTTTGGTTTTGCCATCAATTCTCTAACATATACTCTTCTAGCTTTATTTATAAGGTAGAGAGAGAAAGTTTTTTTAGTCATATTTATAAGTCACTTTATTGAATTTTCAATATAAATGTACTATTTTGTTATTTTTTAATTATAATGTAGATATTTATTTTTTTTCCTAAAAGGTGGTTGACTAACAAGTTAATTGATATGGGCCGCATTTTTGTTATAAAAAGCCGAAGCCCAAAATCAAAATTTTTTACTAAATTCTGGGCTCAGATTTCGAAAACTAGGCCCAATTAAACTAGATTAAGTATGGATTATTTATTTGTTCCTATGATCAATTTAAATTTCTTTATGTGGAAGAAACCGTGATTATAATAATTTATGATTGACAAATCATATATATTTATTTTAAATAATTAATATTAATATTAGTAAATTCTCAAACCTAGTTATCCCTAAGTTGATTATTTGAAAATCTATCATGTTATAATTTTTTTTTTTCCAAAAATGTTCTTAGGACTGAGGTTATATTTAAAATTGAAAAGTTGGTTCCTAAAATATTTTATGCAACTATTTCCTTAAATTTTAGTTAAATTTGGTTGTTAAAATATTGTATACATTTATCTAATTGAAATTTTGTCAAAGAGTTCATCTAAAACTTAAGATGGAAATAAACGTAAACAAAAAAATGAATGATATAATATCTTAATAATATTTAATCATTTTACGAGGTTTATTATTAAGAATGATCAAATTACATTGTTTATACATTACAAAGAGTATAGCTTCTTAGAAATTTAATTAATATATATAGAGATGGACTTAAATGAAAATGAATTTTGCTCCAAAGTCCAAACAAAGGATTCTTAATTTATTCATAAAAGGTCTCTTATTTTAGGGTCGGCCATGTGAATGCCGCACCTAAAGGTGTCAATTTCCGCAAGCAAGTGAAAAATTAAATGATAGGTCAACTTCTAATAAAAAAATATCAAAATAAATAAAAATCTCATTTCAACTCTCTATGTATTGTAAAACGGTTTTTTTTTTTAATAAATATTACTTTCCATGGTATCATCCCAAGGAACTGAAATCATATCCAAGCAAATCAAGAGCTTGTTATGCTTATGACCATTTCATTGTTTTACTTCTGTCATGTTAATGAAAATTTCAAACGCAACTCAGCAATTAATATATAACTATATATTTATATATCATCACCCCCCCCCAACATCATTAGAAAAATGGAAGGGTAAAATGATATCATAATACTTCTTTTATGCTTAATATAAGATTCAGTTGCCTAATTTTAAAAGATAAATACATTATTTTACAGTATTTTATTTATTTTTTGACTTATAAATTTATATGTAATATAATGATGCATTTAAGTAGTTCATGTAATATATATTCCAATTAATTTATTTATTTAGCTTTCTTAATTATTTTTAAATTATTTAACTAAGTCTTATATTAAAAAGTAGATGTAGTATTATTTATGATGCAATTTTACCCATACTTATTTGTGCCCAAATGTTTGTTAAAAAAAAGAGAATTATAATCAAGTTCTACAAAAAAAAAATAATTACCAAAAAGTTTCAATAACAACCTGAGAAGCCTATAATGACAAGTCCTACAGTGAAGATTGATAACTTCTGATATTTGTTTTGTAATTTTTTTCCTTTGATAAAACTTGATTATAATTCTCCGGTTAAAAAATCATGCCAGATGGGCAATTTTTTGAAAACACTTCCACAAAGGCAAATGACATGGCTGACTGATTTGGCCTTTTCTTTAAAAAAAACATATGTTAACCCGATGGAACGCGCTGAACCGGACCAAGCTAACATAGTCTGATATCCAAGGCTTTAGTCCAAGTAAGGCCTCTCATTCTCAACTCATCAACGGGCCATGTTAGGACCTCAGCTTTGAATACCAGATCTAGGATAACTGGAAAGATTGTCACCAAACACTCCTTCATGGATCGTGGTCAAATTCTATTTTCTGATGCACAGGATCCTCTTAAAGAGGCAAGTGCAGAGCATACTTAGAATCTCTGGCAACAGAAGAAAGACATTATAAGTGGGGCTTTCAGAAGAAGAGAGAAATTTAGAGAGAGCTCATGAGGAAAACACACTAGTATTATACAAGGAAGTCGATACAACTCCTTCTGCCTGTAACTGATGGCAAAGTGAGGTTTATATAGAGGCTCAGGGCCACCACATGACAAAGTCCTAATAGTACACCTCATTATGACGGGTAGATGTAATAGTAAACGTCATTATGACTTGACAACTACTCATAACTACCAACTACTATCATAATGATACCTAATAATGACAACCACTCCATTTATTACAAGAAGACGAAATAGACTATAGGACAAACTACTTTAATAAAGTAAAAGTAGATGGCAGCATAAAGTAGGAATCTGGCGGGTCCCGCTTTATCTTCAGAGTATCCCAAAAGGAGATTTTCTGATGATGATGTCCTAGTCTTTATAGATAGGTTCATGGCTAGGGGATAGGTTCATGATGTCTTCTGGGTCTGGGTCATCTGAGTCATAGTGTCTCCTTGTGCAGTAGTAGTCTTCGAGCTTTGGGTTAGGGTCATCCTGGTTAGGATCCTGGGAATCTCTTGCAAGGAATGGGAGTTGCGACTGGAAACTTGGCTGAGGGAGATAAAGTCCTTCAGGCTGAGTGAGTTGAATCTGTGAGTCTCCGTCATAAGGGTCTTCAGAGGCTTCTGTCTGTGAAGGGGCTTGTGATCTATTTGGTGGAGGTCTGATAGTACTCATGATGAAATCTCTCTGGAATTCTCCAAGTGTTGTGCTACTGGCTGATGGTGAGCTTGGAGGGAAAGGTCCAAGAGAAAGACATGAAGTGTCTTCTCCTGTGTCTGGCTGGTTAAGTGCAGTTAATGTCTTTCCAAGTTTCTCCATTAACAGTGCTTCATTTCTTGGCCATGAGGGGGTGGTGACTTGGAGGATCAGACGGTTGTCTGTGTAAAGCCTCTGCTCAGTACTTATACCATAGTTTCTGAAAAAGGTATACAAACAGAAAAATCTCTTTTGTTTGGGAGTTGGTAAGTCCCAGATATTATGTTCCTTGAGAATTTTCCAAAGTTTTCCTCTCCAGTAAGGAAGAGGAGCAAGCATCTCAAAGAGTGTGGTAAGATGAGAATTTTCATTTCTGAAGTCATTCAAGTGATCATGGACGACTACAGCTGAGAAGGCTATGGCATAGGTATAATTGGCTGAGACAGACTAGATGTACCATAAAAGTTCCTCAGGTATGGGTCCTTTGATGATGGGAACAGTGAGGTAAGGAGCATCGGCATCAAAGTGCTGAGGGTAAGG